GCTCTGTGGCTTCAGCAATTCTGGGGTTGTAAGGATATAGTTCCCGTGTTGTGCAGATCAAACAGACACCGCATGTCAGGTGACACTGGCTTTAGGAGTTGGCAAAGGATTTGCCCTCTGCTGAGCAGGAGTGTAATGAACTCTCCTTTTCTCACTCTCTTCTTCCTTGCTTTCTATCACCTGCGTGGCTGCACAAATAAAAGAGCCACTTTTCCTGGTGCTGTGTAACACTGACACTCACTGCTGCTTTTGCTTTAGAGAATTCCTTTCTTACTGGCATTCTCTTGACCTGTTCACAAATTCTTCCCTCCCCCATCCAAGCTGGGGTTTCACTAAGCTCGCAAGGAGAGACCTCCTCAGAGGAGACTATCCCGCTGACTGGAGGTGGCACTAGAATACTTTTCTTGTGAAATCATTTCAGAGTATTGGGTGAAATATACAGTGCTACTGAGGTTTCACATTGTCTTGTCTCATCTTCTTTGGCAACCTGTAATTCATCATTGTGCATTGCTCTCTCACTCCAGAGAAGTGCTGAGGCCACATTTCTGACAATATTGCCCTTTGTCTGAAGCTCCGGCCAAAACTTCAGGGATGTTAGGTGATTAAAATGGGATTTAGAGATTTCTTATAGGTTTCAATATTAAGGTCATGTCTGATACCAAATAACTGAGAATTTATTCCATAAAATACCAAGGCAATTACAGGCATATTAAATTAATTCCTTAATCACCACACCTTCTATTTTAAAAATATCTGCTGGTAGAAGGTAATAGCAGAAACAAGGATGTACTTATCTCATAGGTTTAGGCTTCACATTTACTCTTTTTTTTAAAAGTTGATTTTAATGGGCTCCCTTAGTTCTTATTGAATACCTTTTTATTTAAGTCTCTAGTCCAGGAAACCACCACTTCCAAGGGGGTAAAGTATATGGTTCTAAAGAATGTGCTTTAATGCCCCAAATTGTAATCATAGAAAAGAAGGCCTCATGATGCCATTTTACTTTGAAGCAGATCTTTGATGTCTCAGAACTCAATATTTTATAAAGAAGATGGAAACTCTCCATCTCTCCAGATTCTCCTAGGAGCACATGGATGTTCCTTTTTCTTGACCAACTGTCCAAGTTGTTGCTTGCTTCCTGAAATTCTTGTCCCCTGTTAGGCCTACCACTTCTGGAACACTAGGTCATATCTCACTCCAGTATTACCTTCACCTCTTAGTTCACCCAACCATCTCCTCAGTGCTAAATTGTCATTTTAACCTCTCCCCCAGGGAAAACAAACAAACAAACAAACAAGCAAACAAACAAAAAACAGAAATAGATTAGCCAGTCACATAGCACATGTCATTGGGTGGGGATGTTTTGAGTTGACCTCAGCCTGTCCATAGTGATATAATGGGCTGGAATTGCCTGGGGGCCCTCAGATGTCCCCACTGACGTCTCTCTTTTCAGAACGAATGTGTGGCTGCACTGACTCTTATAGTTCTTATGATGATGGAAAGACATCCTAAGCAAGAATGATCAGGAGGCTTTGCAAGGACAAGGTTTGTTACTCACACGTCCTGGAGGGTACACAGCACACCTCGAGTCACACAGCAAGGTTGTGGGATGAGAGCAAGGTCTTGGCAGAGTGTGACAGTGGGCCTTTGGTTTGCTTTTATTAGTATTGAGGGTAGAGTGCCTAGGGCTTGGGGGTTCACTCAGTGAATATAAAACAAGACAAAAAATTAAACCCCTGGTAGGGAAAACAAGCAGTTAAAAGGTCAGTTATCTGAGTCAACCAGAGATCTCTAAAACAAAGGGAGGTTCAGGGGTCGGGCAGTGTCTTGCCAATGGATTTCTGCCTCGGGCAAGGGCAAATTCACTGTGGATTCAGTGAGAACTGAGGAATGACAATGGAGCATTCTTGGTTAAAAAGGCCAACTACCCAGCTTTGTTCTCCAAGCAATAGGTTGAGCACTATGGTTATGTCTGCATCCAATAGTCTTCAGGTCTGTAATCCTCCTTGTCTCTGCCTCTGTCCAGAACACTGGGCAGAGCTCTTTATATAGTGACTCAGTCAATAATAGCTTATTGCCTCTGGGTGTGGAAGCAGTAGCCTTGCAGCAGGCCAATTACATCATCAAGTAGTTTAGGTTCAGGTGAGGATCCTGGCCATAGGAACTTCCATTTTCCCCACAGGTGGCCTGGCCCTTTGTCCAGTGGCTGGCAATGTGTTTGAAGTGGCTGCTTAGCAATCTAAAGCTTAATGCCAAGCACGTGTATTACAATTAAAAAAACCCAACTGTTGGGGCCTTGCACTACAGGACAGATTTAGCAATGCCAGAGAAGAGACTCAGTTTTGCCATAAAGATTCTTGTCAGGTTGTGAGCAATGGGGCAAATTATAAGCAGGTGTATATTTGGCTCCTAGATGTCAAGGTTGCTCTTTCAAAGTCTTTGTGCACTCATGGGTCTGGTTTAGAGCTTCTGTGTTTTAATTATCTTTTTTTGTTTTAAGTGTCTCTGCTACTAGGCTGGCATTCCTTTGGAAGACACCCTGTGCCCTTGTGGATAAAGTGACGGTTCCTGGGCCAGGATTCTCACCTGGCTCTGGTTGGCTAGCTCACTACACATGTGTAGGCAATATATTGTTATTGACTCTATATAAAGAGCTCCGCCCAGTGCTCTGGGCTGCACCGCTGCAGGAGAGCAGAGATGAGACTGGAGTGGTGGCAGCACCAAGGACAGCGACTGAGATGTCTGCGTGAGTAGAGAGGCCCAGAGGCGGAGACCAGCTTGCTGCATGTAAACTCACTCTGAGTGGACAGGATTCTAGTGACTGACCTGCCACTGTGGAGATAAAGTTGGGTATAACCCTTTCACCCCAACAACATTCTACTATAATTTCTTTGGTCACATTGAATCCACAGTGAACTTGCCCAGGACTAAAATCCATTGGCAAGACATCCCTGTGCATTTATTTTCTCATTCTAGCATTGAAATAGAACCATGCTCCAAGCAGGTGTTTATTCTTTGCTGACCAAATGTGTAAGGAATGACTAGACAAATAAATAATAAAAAAATGCCAGCTTATTTGCAAATGTTTTCCTTGTAGTGCATTTTAAATGAAGCAACTTCTAGCCTTTCTCTACATGAAATATTGGCTTGAATGTTCCAAATTTAAATGTGCTGGTCAAACCCAACTTTAAAATGTGACATTACATTCCTATAGCTTTACACTCTGAGGAGTTTTGGATAGTCACACACCACCAATTATTAAGAAAAAGGACTGTGCACTTGAAATCAGATTTGGTGGGTGTAGTCAATGAGGATGAGTAATATTGTAAAAAGAATCTGGTTTAGAAAGACCAGGGAGAGAAATTTCCTTCATTCTGATGTTACTTGTACTCAGAATTGCCCGATGAAGGAGCAGGGTGGCACACAGAATTTCTGCATAAGGGTTGCCAAGGATAGAAAAGAAACAGGAGCAGCCCATGAAAAATCAAACAATCCAATTAGGATCGAACCTTTTAACTTTTTTTTATACTTAATGTTGAACAGAAATCAGTTGTTCTTTCTGAGGCACTCTAGCACCCTTACTAAGAACAGGTAACTGTAATGAACAATCACAAATCCCAAGGAATTTATCTTATCAATTTGTCTGTCATCTTCTGTATTTTTTGAATAGCACCACAAGGAATTTGAAAATTTTAATACCCCCTGAAAGTAAAGCAATTTTCTTCCTTCTCCTTTCAGATGGAAGTGGAGTCCATTGTATTTTGTGGAAATGAAGCCTGTTCCAGTGTTGGCTTCATTATTTAGACGCTGGCTTCCTTCTGTGCAGGGTTCACTTGGGGCATCCTCGAGAAGCTTGGAAGAACAGCTGTTCCCTGAGTGACTTGTCCTGAGAAGCACCCAGAACTGAGAAAACGGGCCTTAGCTGGAGGGTGGGAGAGGACATGTGTCTCTCTCAGGCCTTGCTTCTGTGGCTTTAAGTAGCTTAGACCAATGACGTACTGATGTGTCCTTATTAGTTGTGAAGCGTGTTGCAAATCATTTGTCCTTTTAGTCGTTTTTTTTTTAATCTGCAAGAACGCCTCAAAAATTGTAGTGTCATCTGTGGGGATTATTTTAGGCAACAAAGAAATTACTTTGGTACAGAAAAAGGACTAAGCAAACAGTGTACAATGAAGAGTGACCAGTGTTAGCCACGGTGACTCACCCCCATTTGTATTCTAGTATGTGGGAGCACAGGGGGGTGGAGACACCAGCAGCTCATGTGGCAGTCAGGCAGGCATGGATGCAGTCCCTCTCAGGGCTGTGGCTGAGGGACTCCTAGGTGGTGGGGGAAGAGATGGCCTCTGTCACTGGTAGCTGGCCAGAAGTTGGGCCCTGAGCCATCCCATAATTCATATTATCTGGTTATTTCCCTTTCATTATTCCCAGTCTTTAACGAAATTTGCCCAAGTATTCTAGCTTTGCCCCAGTGGAGCTAAGGGTAGTTAGAGACAAAATCTGGATTTGAGATTAGCTGTAACATTAGAAGGGGGAGAAGATCAGGTTCATGGTATCAGTGGTGCCTTCTGAAATGACCCTAAGGGAAAGGTGAGTCACAGAACAATGATTGGAGTTTTGAGACTCAGAGAAGACATCGTCCTAATGCCTAGGAAACATTGTCTCCCAATAACTTCGAAGAGTCTGGTTGTGCTGAGAAAGCTGGTGGCCCCTTGAACAATGTTCCTTAGCTTTGCACCCCACTGAAGCTTTTAAATTCTGTCACTGGCTGTTTATTTTCAGAGTAATTATAAAGACCATGTATTCGTAGCTCTGCTACGAATCTTAGGTTCAGAGATGTACAGTCCACTTCTAGCTTTTGAGATTCTGAGATTTCATGTTTTAAAAAATAGTTACATGGAAATGAAATATGACACAAAGAAAAGTCAAAAGTTCTAGCTTTTTTTCCTTTCTGAATAAACATACCCATTATTAGAGTGAATGTGGCTTTTAGTGTTAGCCACGGTGACTCACCCCCATTTGTATTCTAGTATGTGGGAGCACAGGGGGGTGGAGACACCAGCAGCTCATGTGGCAGTCAGGCAGGCATGGATGCAGTCCCTCTCAGGGCTGTGGCTGAGGGACTCCTAGGTGGTGGGGGAAGAGATGGCCTCTGTCACTGGTAGCTGGCCAGAAGTTGGGCCCTGAGCCATCCCATAATTCATATTATCTGGTTATTTCCCTTTCATTATTCCCAGTCTTTAACGAAATTTGCCCAAGTATTCTAGCTTTGCCCCAGTGGAGCTAAGGGTAGTTAGAGACAAAATCTGGATTTGAGATTAGCTGTAACATTAGAAGGGGGAGAAGATCAGGTTCATGGTATCAGTGGTGCCTTCTGAAATGACCCTAAGGGAAAGGTGAGTCACAGAACAATGATTGGAGTTTTGAGACTCAGAGAAGACATCGTCCTAATGCCTAGGAAACATTGTCTCCCAATAACTTCGAAGAGTCTGGTTGTGCTGAGAAAGCTGGTGGCCCCTTGAACAATGTTCCTTAGCTTTGCACCCCACTGAAGCTTTTAAATTCTGTCACTGGCTGTTTATTTTCAGAGTAATTATAAAGACCATGTATTCGTAGCTCTGCCCTCTTAGGTTCAGAGATGTACAGTCCACTTCTAGCTTTTGAGATTCTGAGATTTCATGTTTTAAAAAATAGTTACATGGAAATGAAATATGACACAAAGAAAAGTCAAAAGTTCTAGCTTTTTTTCCTTTCTGAATAAACATACCCATTATTAGAGTGAATGTGGCTTTTGTGTAGTGTAACATTCATATTAAACCTGGTGAGATTGTGTAAATGTTAAAAATGGAATAATTATTGAAATGTGAGGCCTGCATTGGGCTTGCAGCCTCCACAAGAACCTTTCTATGCTGCCCCTGATCTCTGCTCACTGCCACCAAGTTCCCACGGAACAGTGACAGGACACCTGGCAGAGACTCCGGCAGGCTCACAGGGACTGGCAGGATGGTATAACCAATGAGTTTCACTTCCCGAATGACTGATCCATTTCTGTGCTCGTTTATCATGAAGGAAAATATATCACAAAGTGATCACTTTGATGGTGACAATTCACACCTTCTTCAGGAGGAATTTGTGTTAGTATTCTAGCTGTTACACTACACCTGTGCTGTCTACATGTCAGTACAGGGCACATGTTTAACCAAAGAAATTAGAACATTATCTGGCAGTTTCAGGTCCCTGAACCTGACATTTTGGTATGTTCAAATCTTTGGAGCTAGTATGATTTGAGGGTCCCAGTGTTCAACGATAGTGCCACCTTCTCTCCAGTTTGTGCCTTTCTTTGCATCACAAGTATCAGATAAGAATACAGTATTTTTCTCTATCCTCTTGTATCTCCTGGGATCTCACAATTTTGAGACCAGGGGATTGTTTCATATAGATGTGAGGGTCTATAAAAAAAACCTATCTTTTAATACATTGTTCACTCTCCGCAAAATCCTGATTAAAAGCAGGCAAGATGGTAACCAAGTATTTAAAAATAGGTAAAAGCACCACTTGCAGTTCTTCTCAGCAATGCCAGTATTTCTTAGAGCAGACCTACTCGAACTACACTTCAGCTCTGAAATCTGCCACATTTATAAAAATAGAAATGAATGATTCTACTCTTTATGAAATAAGACAAATTATGCTTTGGGAGAAAATAATTTGCTGTAAAGTAGAAAATGTTTTAATAGTTGTATCTTATAATAAAACCATGACATGTTTATAAACACTCTATCAAGCGTTTTTACAATGGGGCCACTGCTGACAACTGGAAACACAATAAATATGCACAGACACACTGAGTATGAAATATACATCTTGATTTTATAATCATGTGTGCTTTATTTTTTACACAAATGGAATGGAATTGTTGACTATTTACACTTAACAGGAGTTGTAAGCTGTGCAGCGTCTCTGTAAACTCCAGCTCAGGCAAGGAAGTATCTCCTCCCTCCCACCCAGCACTACAGCTCAATGGAGAGACATCCTGTCAGAGAGAAGCACAAAACTGTCATATTGAAAGGCTCTAATGGGTACAGCCTGGTGCACTCGGAAGTTAAGATACACTTAGGAAACAAAAATTCAAAAAGGAGAGAAGAAAAGTTTGCTGTCCCATTGGGAGTCAACCATTCCATTTGGTTGTCTGTCCTCTTGAGTTGCTAGGGAGATTCTGTATTCTCTTTTAGATGATCTTTGTCGAGATCGTCCACCTGTCTTAGCTTGTCCTCAGCTGCTACAAGAAACTGCACAGCTGTACAAGAAATGATTTCCAAAGCACAGTTTTCAGTGAGGAAGGATATTTACAGACTGGAGTGTGTGTGTGTGGGTTTCTATCCACATCCATTCACACCCACTGCAGTGTGTGTATGTGTGATATACATACCACATATACCATACATACACTAAGTAACATGTATAGCCGCAGAATCCTGTAGGCAAATCTCTGGCAAATCAGTTGTCACAGGAGGTACTGCACATACTTGAAAGGAAATGTTCCCCCTTTTTCCCCTACAAGTGACAAATTACTATGATAAACTTAGGAACTGGCCTGAGTCCTTGACTGAAATATTTGTAGGAATTTGGGCAGGCCCAGGACAGGAGAAAAGAGATGTTTCACCAGCGAGTCCATTCAATCTCACCAGAGCAATCACCAGCTGAAAAGCAGAGGGGGCTTCACGTGAAAGTGGGAAAAAGAAGGCTTATGAATGGGAAAAAAAAGTCTCTCTCCAAACCAAGGCGATGGCATGGCTTCCATGAGAAGGAAGAGGTTTGCTGGGAGAGTACTTACTGGGGCCAAAGTCTGCCTTTATTGAAAGCAGTAAGTAGAGCCGCAGGGTGGTGCTGGGAGAGCGCTCACTGGATTGCCCTCAGGCAGAGAGGCGCCCGGTGCCCGCAGGGCCCAGAGCACGTGCATCCTCGCTGCCAGGGCAGCGGTGCAGGCCGGCTCGGGGAGGCGTGCTGGAGCTGGCTCCAGGCCCCCCTCGTGCTCAGCTTGGCTTCCTGGGCTGTGCAGGTGAAACGGTGACCCAAAGTATTTGTGTCATCAGTCCCGTGTGGGGACTTGCTGTCTGGATCAGCCAGGAGCCCTTCTAGGACAGAAGAATTGAGGCGTGGGGTATGGGAGAGGGGATGTGATGAGATGTGGGGAGAAGAGGAAGGACAGGAAAAGAAGGGAAAGAGGAATAAGAAAGGGAGAGACTGAGATGAAGGAAGAGATGAAGACATGGTGGGTGACAGGGAGGGAGTAGAGAAAGATTACAGGAAAAAGTCAGAAGCTCGGAGAAGACAAGCAGGAAGGGCAAAAGAGGTGCACAAAAATAGTGATGGAATGAGATAGAAATAGGCGGGGGAGCAGAGGGAAAGAATGAGACAACCAGAGGTGAGCGCCACGGGTGTGGAGAGCTCTTCCCCGGTGCAGAGTCCTAAAGGGCTGGCAGTAGGATCTAAGACAGCTCACAGGCACCTGGGTGCAGCTTCGTAAAGATGGGCTCACTGAACAGGTAGAGTCAACCCAAGAATTTGGGGCTGGGAGGAAAGGCTTGCAAGGAAATGGCCAACAAATCCCATGGGAAGAGAGAAAAATACAAATGCCCCTGCAATTAGCTGACAAATGGGATTTTGATTTTGGTAGAGCTGAGACCCCCGTGGTGCTACACATTGTACCAGAGCATGAAAAATAGCACCAGTGACACGATCTGGCACTTTTCCGAAAGGGCCCAGCATGGGAAGGTGACGTGGCGCCCCCAGCAAGTCTTCTGATTGGAGAGAGCTCCAGACAAAGTTTGCAGTGTTAGCACCAGTCTGGCCCCAGGCTCCATGTGCATTTGCACCAGATGTAATCTGGGTAACTTTCATGCCTTTTCCATACAAGTCATCAGATTTGCTGCAAAATACATCCATCCATTGGAGCCATAGAGACCTCAACATTGGGAAGCTCTAGACAACACTACAAATGGAGGTGTAAATTCTACAGGAAAAGACTCTCTCACCAGTTTGCTTGGTGAGTCTTCAAGCAAATATATATGTATGTATATATTTATATAAATCTACATAAAAAAAATCAGTGCAAATGCCAATTCTAATCCGAAAGCATCTACACTAGGAAAATAAATAATTATATTACTACAAAACCAAGGGTTGGTTGTTCAATTTGATTGTACTCAGCCATAGCAATACTTAATATTAAAGGGAAAGCACATCACACGACCCGCGGAAACATCTACTCATTAATGACAGTCCTTGAAATAAATGGTTGCATGCTCAGTTGAGAAACCAAAGAAGTTATGGTGGCCTAAAAATAGAGCTGGGATCAGGAATGGCATTCTGGTGGCAGAAAACTTCTGGCAGCAATATTGATGAAAGTAGGCCTTGACCTGAAACTGGCGAATTGCAGACATGGACACATCTTTACCATTTTGCCCACTCTAAGGAAGTCTCTGGAAATTTTCACTTTCATCCAAGGGCAAATGCATTGCTGGCCCTTGCCTTGAAAGGCAGCCTCAAGACTACAGGGAGATGCATATTTCTGCAGTTTTGTGTTTATTTTGGTGACTGCCACCAGGCAGATGGTGGTGTTTAGTGTAGGATGCACAATGCTTGTTTTGGGAAAGAGACCCTCATTCTGAGCTCTAATGTTCTTCCTGTGAAGAAGCCCCATCACTGCTGATGGCCCTATCTCTTGCTCTCCCTCCCAGCCTGCATGCTGGTTTGCTGCACAGTGTGGCAGAATCCCTGCCAGGTCTGGATGTACCCCAGAAATAAGGCGATGGGGCTTAGGCTGGGCATGCATGGAACCCAGAGTTGAGTGGTTATTGAGATCACTGAAAAGTCTCTCTCTAAACACCTTGGGCACAAGCAGTGCTGATGTCACCATCAGTTCTAAAGTGGGATATATAGGCTTTGGGAGTTTTTTTTTTCAAATAATTACTATAATTGCTAAAAAATAAACTTGGTCCAGGTGCAGCCCCCAAGAAAGGCAGTTCAATTGGTTGAGCTCAAAGTCATTAATTGTCCTTCTTTGTGGTTCTTTTTGCCCTAGACACAGAAACAAAAGTCTGCATCCTGCACCCCCAACCAGATTCTTTTATTTTTCTCTCTTCCTCAAAGAAATAGTGCATCTTGGGACAAATCTCTCCATCGCTCTGTACCATCTCTGGCTCTTACAAAAACCCTTGGTTACTTGTGAAACAGACCAAAAAAAAAAAAAAAAGTCCTAATTATTCATGGTTGGCCAAAATACTCAATGAGTTATATGTAAATAACTAGCAACAAAGTTATTAAACAATTTGCATGGCAGGCCCAGGTTGTTTAACAAGAGAAAAGCAAAAACTTCCCTTTAGATCATTTGTATGAGTTTGTCTCTGAAAGCCATCAGCTTAAAAATGCATTAACCAGATGTCTTCCAAAAATATCCATGAGGGTAACTCATTAAGGGATGTGCTCCATGAGAGTGGAAAGGAGATCATGGGAGGCAAGTGAGGGAGACGTTAGAAGAAACTCAGATGCTCTTAATGGATCATTGGCAACGAAAGGGAAAGTCCAACCTTCAGTTCTTGAATTTGATCATCTGCTGATAGTGCATACATTTAGTCTTTCAATTAATTAGCCTTTACAAAATATTTCACAAAACTTTTTAACCTATAGAAATTTGTCTCTATACATTTAATATATTTTATTGTATAAATTATTCTCATCTTTAGTGCCTTCTTTCAGTTTATAAATGGCAAAATAGACAATAAACAATCATAAAGCTAACCCCAGGTGGAATTCCCTCCTTTCAGTAAGGTCAGTCCTCCGTACACTTGCGCATTTTATGAAATGCTCGTCTTTGCAGATGCCAGTCAAAGAAACTACACATTTATTCTTCCCTGATATTATGCTGTTTCCAAAAGGACTCCTTCCTTTTTTTTCCTTCTTTCTTTCTTTTGCTTGTTAGGAAATCAAAGGATGTGCATAGTTATAAAATTCAAAGTGTACCAATTACAGATGTGGGGAATGGGAAGGTTGGTTAAGTTCAAGTGCTGGCTGGCAACTTTTCTTTAAAGCATAAAACACAGAGAGCTCAGCAGCTAAATCAGCTCTGGACATCTGCTGGGGTGAGGAGGCTGCCCGTCTCGGGCGGAAAGCCCATCAGAGGTTCATCCCTACACCTGGTACTTTGAGCAAACCAAAGCCTTCCTGCAAACTGCAGTGTCCTTTCTGTCCCACCCTCGGGCCCCTCCGTTTCCTTCATGGCTTCACACAGTTTGTGTTGTACATTCATAAGAATTCACATTGACTGCAAAAACATAAATGCAACAAAAACATAAAAGCCTCCAAGTAGTATATTATATATATTTTGTTCTTCTAAATGCTCTTCTGTTGCTGCTGGAGGTGCAGTAGCTAATTTATAGCTTTTCCTTTGAGGGAATCCAGATGAAAGGCCCAGACTGCTCTTCAATAACAAGCTTGCATTGGTTATAGATGTCTTCTAAGGTGTCTCCTTGGACAATAGCTAGACCAAAGCAAACACATCAGAGTTAGGAATCATTCTCTGGGCAGTGAAGGACAGCCATCAGTCACACAGCGGAAGCTCAAACAAGGAATGGACAAACTCATCAGGAATCTTAATATTACTTGTCATTAGTAAGAAAAGGCAGAAAATTCACTTCAGCAAGGTCACCATCAATGACTAAAAAAAAAAAAGCTTCCAAGGCATGCCCTGGATCAGTAATAAATATACCACAATTCTTTCACTTTCTACATGTCTGTAGTTCTGAGCAATGAATTTTACTTACATTTAAATTTATTGGTGCCTATTCTGGGCCAGGCCCCAAGCTAGGCATTGATCAATTTTCAGATTGAGATCTTCCTGTTTATCGAAGAACACAGGCCTTATATTCTACATACTGTACTTAGGCAGAGCAGAAATTCAGACACTTTAAACACAGAGGAAACAATGAATGTTTTTGGAGGAAACTTTAGTTAAGCTACCCAGTCTCCAAACCCTTTAGTAGGAAATCCCATTTATTCTCCAACTAATCTGATAAATTGAGATTTTACCATAACAGGGCTCAATTCTCATACTGAGAATGCCTTACAGCAAACAAAAAAATAAATCCCCACTTACATAAGAAACATAAATAGGGGGAAACATAGCAAACTGTGTATTACCTAAAGCACCAAGTCACCTGGAGCGGATTTAAGAACACTATTTCTTTTGAACAAAAGCTATCCTGTAGATATATTTCCAAAACACATTAGTACTATCTATACAACATTAGGGCTTAAAAACGAATTGCTACTAAATCATACTTTAGATCTGCAAAAACACTCCTCAAACTGTATTGATTATTGTATCTCATTTCTGAAAGTAAATCATTGGTCGAAATGTATATGATTTTGGTTTGATCTTTCTGCCTGGAGGAAACATAACTCATATCTTTGTAATTGATAGAAATTTTACTTAAGATCACCCAATTCAATGTTTTCAGAATGCTAAGCCACTGGCATTTTCATATTCTGAATAAGGTAAAAAGTAGAACATCTAATTGCACATGAGGTGATTCAGGAGTAAAGTTCTTGTTTTTAATCCCTCAGTTATAAGGCAAATTCCATTAAGTTTGATCACGCTCTGTGTTTGATCAGTGTTTCATGAAAGCATATGAGAGTAGAGAATCATGATACTCAGGAAGATGAGAAAATCTTCCACTCCCCCAACTTCATGTTTCCAAAGAAATATTTAAAAAGAAAAAATAAGTTTGGCATTGAGATTAGACATGGAATTAATTGAAAACAGGGAAGCTTTTTGCACCTTGTTCAAGTGCTGCTCATGGGGGGACAGATGGAAGCCAGGAATGGAAGTTCCTGAGACTGCTTCTCAGAGTAACTGCTTTGGACCCTGCCCATCTGGAGCTCTAAGAGTTTCTTTTTCTTGTTTCCTGATGGCCTCAGGGTTGTTGGGTTAATGAGGAACCACTACCTAAAATCTCCTTAACAGCAGGACACAGCTCTGTGGCATCTGCCACTCATGGTTACGGACAGAGCCAGCCAGGATCTGGAAGCTGGCCGTGGCCAAAACCACAGAAGAGCGAACCCAGGGTTCTGGATCAAATGGGGGAAGCAGAAGGAAATGAGGGCTTCTCAGCAGCAAGGTATTAGGGCTTAGGTATACCAGGCCCAGAACCCTCTCCATGCCAAGTGCCAGACGAGGGTCTGACAGTACAAGGGGAAATGAACTTACCGGTAAAATATTCTCCAAATTCTTGTTCTAGCTTAATTGCACGATCATAGGTTTTCTTGGCTTGTTCCTCTGTTAGACGCTTATTCATCTCCCTGGGAAAATGAGGATTTGGTATTAGAACACACAGTGAATACACCAAATTCTGAAGAATTAAAACATCTGGCAAAAAGGGGACCCGGAGGACGCAGAGTGAAATCTCAGCAGTCGAGTCCTGGCTCGTGCGTCCTTGGAGCTGGGAGACTCAGGTGTGAGCAAGGCTGCTCGTTCTGAGGGCCATCACTCAGCTCTACATTGGACTGAAGCAGAATCTGGAATGATGCCAGTCACTGGTCCCTGTGCTGTCCTCTGCAGTCCCACAAGAGTAGGACTAAATTCCCTTCCTCCCGGACAGGCACTAGCGTCATTAAATCAAGCGCTCATGTGTCCCTTGAGGCTTCCACTCCTTCAGAATAACTGTCTTAATTCCTTCATCTGTTCTCTCACTGGAAATGATTTCCAAATCCCAAACTTCCTGGCCACCCTTCCTTGGACTTTGTTCTAGTCTATCTCAACCTCTCTGACGTGGGTGTAGAATTGAATGAAATCTCCCACGGGTGGTTACAGGGAGAAGAGAGGGAGAGAAGGGAAGGTACATCGCAGCGTTTTGGGCCTCATTACATCCGAGAGAAAGAGACTCGGACTGTTCTCAGGTCCTGACCTTGCAGAAGGCTTTGATTTCTGGACTCCCGCGCCATCCCCAAGGGCTACTGTTCATTTGCAGTGTGTAGGGGGAAACATGTGGAGTGGATTGGAGAAGCACAGAAAGTGCATCTAAGGAATTACAGAAATGTGACAGGTCCCCGAGGCATGCGCATCTTTCAGGCGGAAAAGGCCATCTGCAGCTCCCCCTGCTAGCCTGCAAGTGGTGTGTGTGCACCAACAAGAGCCCTCAACTTCCTGTTTTAGTAATCTAATGGCATCTCAAAGATCTGAAGGAGGCTTGAATTAAAATGGAACATAGGGAGAATGTAACGATCAAAAGTGCTGGGACCAAAATATTTTCAAATAGACTCTAAGAAAGTAATATAACAAAGTGAACCAGATAGAGGAATTTGGTAAGAAAGGAGCTCTGAAGCCCACTTTGTTTATTGTTGTTCTGACAGGAGAATGTGCCTGAAAGGAATTATGCTAAGGACTCCTTGTTCTTTCTTTCTGTTAATTTGACAACCACTGGGGTACCACTAACTTTATGTAAATGCTACTTAGTCATTCTGAGATTATTACAATTTAGTCTCAAGGACAAATTAAGGTGGGATGCAAATGGAAATAACCTAAACTGACTCCTTGCCAGTGGCAGCTTTACCTCCATGTCCTGCAGGCACTAACATGTTTTGCCTCCCAAACTGCACTTATTAAATAATGATTATTTTATCTTAATCAAAGACATCTTATTAATCAAAAAAATCATTGCCTCTGATCATTGTAAGAATTCCAGTGTGACAACGCTGGGCTGATAAAAGTCCAGCCAAGAGTAAAGGCATCTTGTTTGGTCTGTTGGGATTCATCCCAGGTGCAGAAAGAACTTAAGAGCATTTTGCCTTTGCTGGTCACTTAGGAAGCCAGACCTCTGGTCTGGGACCTGTGGTCTTAGTCAGTTTCAGAGCAAGTAGTGGAAGCCTGAAGTAGCAGGAGGTCTTGCCTAAGGTAAAAGAGTAAATCTGATGTAAGAACTTGAAAGTTTTTTTTATTTTTAAACCAATTTTTTAGTCAAATAGACTTTCTATTATACCAAGACTTTCTTTCAAAAGAGACTTATTGGGAAAAATAAAAAACTGAAGTCAGACAGTAACATGATTCTGGACAAGATGCTGATAGCTGCAACAGAAAGAAGTGGGGATTTCCTGAACTCTTATTGTTGAAATAAATCAATCTTGTCCTGAGGGATGGTATCTATAATTCTCCTCCCAAATAGCACTGGCCCTAAAAGCTGTGAGTGGATGTCACTCGTGGGTGCCAAAGATACCAAGGGGGTACTGCTCACAGAAAGACAGTGTTCTGCTTCAGATGTGAAGAAACCGTGTAGAAGATGACGTCGATCTTTGACTTCCCTGGCTCCTGCTGGTCTGTCTGCTTGAATTCCCTTTGCACTTACTGTAGCAATGACTGAATTTAGGTTTTTGTCCTCTAAGATAGGAACTTATTTTGTCTCCTTGCTTAATCTGTGAGTTTTTTCAGGGCAGAGTCCATGGCTTATTCATCAGCATGTAGCATGAAGCCTGACGTAACACTTATTTGTTGAATGAATAAGTGAATGAATGAATGAATGAATGGAAAGCTAGACAAACAATCATTATGATGATACAGTTGAAGACCAAAGTAAACAAAGGCCATTACGGAAGCAAGAAGATAGAAGCAAATCGGGGATGGAGGGTAAAGAGACACGGAAAGCCCCCTATTACCTTGCTGTGGGGGTGGAGCACAGAGGTCACAGGGGAGCACAATATAAAAAGAACATCCCTTTCATACATGCCCTTGATTTTATGCTGCTCTGAAAAGTCAGCTATGTATGCGCTAATCAGCTCTGTGATTTGATGTGAACGATGCACTTGAGAAATAACGTGGGTGATGAGGTAGCAATGCCTGAATGTGACAGCTGTCGTGCTTCTTTGCCAGCTGACCTAGCACTCACTCCTCCCCAGGGAATGGGCAATTCCTGGCAGCTTTGCCCCTGAAGTAAAAACCTCAGAAGTGAGTGAACTGGAAAGTACATATCCCGCATCTAATATAAGATCACATTGATGTGAATGTCGCCATCATGGCTCTCAAGACCTACGAACGTGGCACAGCAAATGACGTCAGATCCACTGTCCTCATTGTGGAATCCAGCCTTTGTGATGCTTCATTTTCCTCGTGATAAGTGGCTGTGACAATGCCCTAAGGCAAAACTAAATAAGTCATCTCATAGTTGTGGAAGCAAGTAGACCCTCTCCTGCTGAGCACCAGCTGGGAATGTGTCCCAGAATCACACTGAACCAAATGGGCAACTTCTGTTTCTCCCTCAAGCCTCGCTTCCCTGGGAAGCCATTTATCTCACTGCTTGTTTATGATGAGGAAACTTCTTTTTCTGTTTCTGAAACAGGCTTTTAAGATGCTGTTCCCAGGCGGTGAGGGCCATTTTTCTGTTCTTGTTACTAATGTTAGCATTACTGTGAGTCTCTTTACTGATTATAAATTACTTTCACATCATGAAATTTGTAGTTGCTCAATTCACTTCGTGCAAAACCCAACACAGTATTCTAGATGACGAGAAATTGAATACATGCTATGAGGGATATTGCTATCGAGAACCATTATTTTATCATCCACATTTATTTTCCTGCGTGCCCACTATGGGCAAAGCTCTTTATGTTATAATTTAACACCTCAGTTCATGGGGCTGAAGGTACCGTCAGTGACCTAATTTAATTTTTTCATCCTGATAAGAAACTTTGTCCATCTTTTATTTATGGCTGTATATTCTGCTTTTAAGATACATCTGTGGCTGTTTCCCCAGAGATTGACTACGTATTTATCTTAATTTTTTGAGGCTGTGATTCCAGCTGCCATAGCTTGCTTTGCTTTTTTATCCTCAGAGAAGACATGGAGCAGTTAGTTGATATTCTCAGCAGGTAACTGTCTTCACCTCTGGGATTAAGTTCATTCTCTGTGGTCTTCCCATACACGTTGTTTGCCAGTACTCTGCGGTTCACTTCTGAACCCTGTCAAATGCTCTAAAAGATCTTAAGGCCCAAATGGAGGCATATATAAATGAAGCTCTTGCAACACACACACTGGCATTATCTCTTATGACCTCTTTGGAAAAGGTACTTTTTACATGTTTTGTGATGCTAAAATAGCTTTATTCCTTTTGCAATAAAGTAACTTGAAATCTTTTGTAGTGGTAATAGCTACTATTTATTGAGTGCCTACTGAATGCCAAAGCTTGGAGAACTTTACCTTCATGATCTCCTTTAACCTTTACATTAGTTCTATGAGGTATGAGTTATTCATGTGCTGGGTGTAGAGGTAAGGAACTAAACATTACAGGTAATTTGTCTAAGGCCGCATAACTGATCAGTGCCAAGGATGACCTAGCCTGACAAATTTTCAAGTCCCTGCTCTTAGCCTCTTTGCTCTGCTGCCTTCTGACCCCTGGAGCCTCACTTTTGTATGAGAGTTGCCTATAAGGCAATGCCAACAATTTCTATCAAAGTGCCACAGAAAATACGTTCCTTTATAGTGAGATCATGACTATCTGCCCGATGTGTTTACTGATTTTTGAAGGAAGACATTTTACAAGTCCTCCGAAAAATAAAAAGAACAAAAAAAGTCCAAGTCATGCATCTTCCCCTTGTTCATAAATGCGCACAGATATAGAGCTCTTGGTGTAAGTTACAGATGCTTTACTGCAGTGCCACTAAAAAAACTCCCTACAGAGGACAGTGGTCTACATTCATAAGGTTTTAATGAAGGAGCAAAGGAACTTGATGCTGGAACAAAGTGAAATGCCAGTGAAGAGAGTCTAAAGTATGGTCTGCTCCCTCTATAAAAACCTTCTATTAAAAAAAATTTCCCAATGGAACTACTCTCAGAAGTAAGAGACAATTAATTCAGAGATGATTGTTTTCTATCATTTGGAAAAAAAACCCCCAAATCAAAGTAACAGAATGCGACCCAACCCAACCCAACCCAAACCAGTGTGCCTTCTAAACAACAAAACAAAATAAAAAAAAAATTACATGCACAAAAAACAACTTGTAAAACGAAAATAAAGATCAAGAGACATTAGTGAAGGCAGTTCTATCATTATGTCTCTAGTGGTTCAAAAAGACTTTACTATGTTTTCTTAAAAATGGAATGCTTAGAATGTCATCAATGGTATTCCCCATTTGTAAGCACTTAGGACAAAGAGCTGTGAACAATTTGCTGTGTCATGTGCAGCAGGAACTGGGTGAAGGCCTTTATGCCCTCCACTTACATCAGCGGTTCCAGAGACTTAGGCTTAATGAAGATGGCGATGGGATAGAGCTGGGCAACTTGTAACCGTTTAATAGCATTTCCTGATACATCAAGTATACAGTGTTTGCCCTGGTAGAAAGAGAAGAAAAATATGGAGTTATTCCAGAAAGAATTCCAGAAGAAAAAAAAAGTGTGTTTTAGAAGAAGGTATAGGGTACTGGATTTCTAAAGGTTGAAATAAGATCACAGCCAAGCATAAATAAAAGTTGATACACAGGGTCATCACTGCATGCTCACAATAATTCACATTTCTCATTTTCTCACTAAGTGTCTGTCACCAATATAAACATGTTACATGTGTTATCTTAGTTAACTTTATTTTCTTAAATAAGTATCTGATAACTTTTCACAAAGAAGCTATGGAATGTGACTAGGTCCTTATATAATGTGACTGAGTCCATTCTCATAAAACTCCCATAAATCATCTCTGAAGACAACTGGCAAGAAGAAAGAGGTAGGTATTATCCATGGCATTTTATAGAAAAGAACACAAAGCTTAGAAATATTAACTAACTTGTCCAAATCTCACTGCTAGGACTCAAATGCAGGTCTTGAGCACTGATAGAATTGTTGGTCGGACTAGATAACCTCATTGTCTCACCCTGACCAATGATAAATCTGGAAGAATGGTAATCATGTGAAATTTGGAACACTTCTATAAATATTTGCAGAATATTTAGATGTATTTGCCCTCTGTATGCTCAGTGTAGTACAGTGGAGGACAGACACAAAAAGAGTTACCTTAAATACTATATCTAAAGTGTGGAGAGGGAGGCTTGTACAGTGTATATGTTTTTGTTTGTTAACAAACAAAAACCTTATTACATTATAGCACACCTCATTTAACTTGACTTCTACTGCAATGAGTGCTCAGAGCAAGGAGTTGCTTTATAAAATATTTCTGGAAACGTGGATATGTTTGCCTAACATCTATTCTACCTCCTGGAGAGAAATGGTCTCATTACCCTGAGGCTATAAGAAACTATACAGGAAGAGAAAATGCATTATTATACAGATGGGAACAGTCCTGAATCAATAAGAGGGGATGAAAATGCATCCATAATGCCCGTGTAAAAATGAAGAGAATCCAGTATATTCTTGAGCTCTTATAGGAGAAACACATTAAATTGGTTCAAGCCTAAATTTATCGCATAAGTAATAAATTCTAAGTTTGCTATCTGTGAAACGCAGCAGCTGTGTAAAATGTCTAAATACTGTTTGATTATTCACTGGCCAGAACATTTAAAGTTAACAAAGGTTATATCTACATATTCAAAGAGGAGAATAGATGCAATTATCCAGGAAACTGATTAGAAACAGCTCATGGAACCTAACTTTTGAGAGAGAGGAAAAGAGATGCAATCTCTTACTGTATTCTCAGGCATAAAATTTCTCGTTCAAATTTTTTTTTTAACCAGTACATCCAAAGGGGGAAAATGGTTGTATCAAATCGTATCACTAACAAATATTAATTACAGAACAAACAGGATTGCTCTTAACCTTTTCCCCTCCTATGTTCACAGGTGTTTTGGATCTTTCTATAGGCAGATCTGAAGGCCACACTCAAATGACTTACTACCCTGTTCTCTCTAGAACATTCTCCTCTTTTCCATGCCCTTGAAATTATCAGCAGGAAGGGCATGGCAGCTTCCATACCTCCCCTAAGCTGGAATTTCTTCCAGTGATGGAAAATACACCAGAAGATCCACCCAGAGGACCCCAAGTTTCCAGGGAGATAAAACTGAACTGCTGCTAACAAAGAGGGTCGGGATGTCCTGATCTAAACAACTAAGAGGAACAAAGCTTCTTTAATAAGACTGATGTTGTTTACTGGGGCCAAAGATAAGTGAGTCAAGGACAAAGTCAATCTCCATAATCTTCAAGGTGTTAATTGCCTTCAGGTTTATAGCAACCCTCTGACCCCCACCCTCTCATGTCAGTCAGCATACTTTACAGAGATTAGAACAAAGATTGATGACCTTACTATAAAAGTGTTTCTCTCTGCTTAGAGGTCTTAAAAGGAATGTTTAATAAATATTTACGACTGCAATCAGGAAAGAGTAATGGCCAAAACAATGCGGTTTGCCACCTGGGCATCTTCCTCAGGGGAGGTCAAGATGATTGGCGAACATACCCTTTCTGCTACAAATCTCACAGACTGCACACTGGTTCCATATAAGTTGTCATTGTACTGGCCGGCTTCTATAAACTTGTGCTCTTGGATATCTTTCTCCATTTGTTCTCTGGAAATGACAAAGTGATAGTCTCTGCCATCCACCTCGTAGTCACGCTTTGGCCTCGTAGTGTCTTTATAAAATGAAACAATAATGGAATTAAGGTAATTTATGTTCATCAACTTCCTTTATATCTATTCACCCTACCTTTCTTAAATATAAGAAAACATGTAATGTGGAGGACCCATGACATAGTAACAGGTACCAGTCTTAGCCACCCACTGTAAACAATTACAAAACTAGACAAAATATATAGAAGAGCTAATTTCAGACATTAGGCAACAGGCAGTACAGGGTTGTGATCCTCGAGAGAGGAGAACCATGGGAGGGAAACTCTCTATTCCACATCCACATTTGCACGTGGAAGGGCTGGAGGTCATACAGAGCTGAGAGACGCTGGAGTTTAGCCAGAACTAAGCATTTGGTTGAGAACCTGGACCAACCACATTTTAGAAGCTAGGCTAGACTTTAGACCCACCTTCACAAGGTCTAAAACCAAGTCATAATTGGGAGAAGCTGATCTGCCAGTAAATTATTACCTGCCAGAGCAAAAATTTAATATCCTGTAAAGAAGATAACAAAATCCAGACTCAATAATGTAGCCTCACCAAGTACTATATAAAATAAAAGGTATGGGAAAAGCAAAGAAGCAAGAAAATGTGTCATAGAGCCAGGAAAAGAAACAAAGACACACAGTAAAAATATATTCAGGGGTTTTTGAAAGATGTGAAAGATCATCACAGTTAAGGTGGGACTAAACATCTTAGAAAGAAGAGAAGGGGACACGATCTATCAATATAAGTAAAAGTATTAGAATATTTCTAATCTCTAACTCAGATATTCTCTTTCTGGGATTTTATCTAAAAAATTATCAAAACTTCAGATAAAAAGTTTTTCCTTAAGGATATTCATGATATTAATTTATACCTATAGATTACAACATAATCACAAAGATATTTTAATTATAATTCATAATAGTGAAAGGCAGAGAAAAATATTGATATGAAATTTTAAATAATGTTAAGCAAAAAAGAAAATTATAGCTATCTAGCATGTATCCAATACAGGAGAAAATGCATGCATAGAAAGAAAGAATAGATGGAAATCCACAAAAGTATTAACAGTGATGTTATCTCTGGGTACTGTGCAGGATTCCATATATTTTTAAAATTTTGTTTAACTTTGTTACCATTTTCCAAGTTTTGTTCAATGAACATGTATTGACTATTGTAAATTAGTGTTATTAATTAAAAAACCAGAAAGATAAACATGTGCAGGGTGGAGGGGAAGTGGGCATTGGGCTTAAGGACTGTCTGTGTTTTCTTTTCTTTCAAAAGTGGAGGAACAAACTGGCAGCTGCTCTGAAGGGACTAGGGTCTGACTTGATTATTTCTCTCCGGAGTCTTTCTCAGGGTATGTCTTATGGCAGGGTCTCCTCCCAGACTCCTTGCCAAGTTTTGTGAGACACAGCAATCAACCCAGTTCCCTTCTGTCCAGGGACTGCCCACATGCAGTTCCTGCTATTATGTATTCCAGGTGCCATCTGCAGTACTGAAGTGGAAGAAGGGACACTTTAAAGCATAAAGCTGAGAAACATAGAGTGAGAAAGAAATATTTGTCAGGATCAGATTTAACAGCTCAACTATCTAATAAGTTAAAATTTCCTGGTAAGTTTGTCTGCATACACTGCATTATGTAACCCCATGGGACCAGAGATGGAAGTGGGTGAGTCTGGTGGGTGGGAGGAGAGAGCAGGCAGAAGCTCCAGGGCTACACTCAGAGGAGACCAGGTGATGGCTCATACTGACAAGAAAGCAGATTATAGTCTGTAATGACCTAGGGGGTAGATTACAGTTTAATACACCTTTTTGTCTTCATCCTTCCACCGCCTGGGGCAGTTGGGAAGGCAGTGGGACAGACACATGACCCTGAATCATCCTGAGATGATTTTAACATATCACTTTGTATCTGCTGTCTCTTATCTACAGGAAAGATGTGCCGGTGGTGTTTCAGTCAATATATAGGAACCTACTGATGCCCGTCAGTAATCCCATACTATTTTAAATGCTATGCGAGTTACAAAGAAAGGATTCATCCTGTCTTCTAGAGGACTGCAGTCACTTTGGGCAGCATGATTATGCTCACTAAAAGGGCACAATAGATGGTAGCGTGATGAAAAAGTGTTGGGTAGAGAAAAATCATGGTAGAGAAAGATGTTCAGGTGACAGTATTTTAATCACTGGAGAGACTCTTAGAGGAACAGAATCACATTTTGTCATCTCAAACGGAGCCAAGCTTTTTTTCTAGAGAAAAGAGAAATGGTACTTACGAGGCACACAGGAGCCAAATTTGTCAGGGAATTCAGATATCAAGTCATCATTGATCCGATCTTTCATGGGGCCCAGGATAATCACCGGTCGGGTGTAGTTTACTGCAGAGAGGGAAAGGAAGACGCAGATGGGGAGAAGAGCCTGAAAACGACAGTAAAACTGTCCTGCAAGGGTGATTCTTAAGGCAAAACTGCCCAGCAGTAAGAACCGCGGAGGGCAATACTTCACTGGATATACTGCCTGTAAGCACTGCAGAGGGAATTCGGTGTTTGACGCTATGTTAGCTGTGCCCCCTTCCTAGAATTTAATAACGGGGAAAAGCAACGGCAATGTCTGCCAATGAAAGGAAACATTTGGAGGGGTTTCACTTAGTCTTACGTTTTGCCTACACAATGTCAAAACAACTACTGAATTTAGTCAATTGAGTGGGAGAAAAAAGATTTCAAAGCAGCTGTTTGGCCATTGTTTAGACAATGACTTTCAAAAGTAATTCTTAGTGGTAATGACACCTTATGTTTTGATAACTTCTGTTACTCAGCTCAAAATATTTTCTATACTTTGTCAGAGTTTCCCAAATTCCTCTGTATGGTGGGGCTAGAAGGAACTCTAAAGTTCATTTGAAACAACAACTCTTGCTTGAATTTTCTCTGCAATATCCTTGTCAAGAGCCACAAGGCTCTGTATAAATGGCTCACAGAAGAAGAAATGCAGGCTTCTGGAGCAGCCCGGAAGGACAAGTCTGCTAGAAAGCCCTTCTTAAGGCTGAGCTGTTCTCAGTCTCCTGGGGGGTTTTATGCATGGGTCCTGGACAGGGAGCTCCTAGTGACTCAGATGTGCTCCTTCCCATTCAGGATCCTTCATCTGGAGGGCTGCTCCGTCCTCTTGGAGGTGTCATTGCCCATGCTTGGCAGGGAAGTTGTTTGTGTGGTGATAGGGCCACAGGGAGAGCAGGGCCTAGTTGGGGGGCTGCTGAGGATTAGGCAGAGTTTATTCTCTAGCCCTTCACTTTTTCCCTCCTGTATTGGTGTTGCCTGTTATGTCCAGGACATCAGGAACCAGAGCATGCTGGGAAACTTACTTTCCTGCCTTGTGACAGGCTCGTAAGAAAGAATGAAGTCTTCTTGCCCTCCTGAGAAGAGAAGAGAGGAAAATTACACTGGACTAACAACCAGGCATAGGCCACAGCTACAAGGCCCTGCTCTGAAATACCAGAAATAGATACAGTTCAGGGTTAATCTTCCTTTTCCTCTTTCCTTGAACTATTCCAAGAATCCCTTTATCCTCATAAAACTCTTTGGCACTATTATAGTGTCAGGTTGTCGATGATTGTAATTCTAAGTAATGACTGGAGGCTGGGTATCTGCAGTCCAGCAGGGCAGGGACCTATGAGACTGCCCTCTGTCAGACGCTGAGAAAAATGGAGCAGCATAGCCTCTACGCCCAGCATTACTCCTTCAAATGAAATGTTGAGTTCAAGGAAAGGGGCCCTCCCATTGTTTGCTGCTGCTCTATCAGAATTTCTCGATCTTTTATTTCATCTCCTATTTTATATCCCAAAGCAGCACATTGTCCAAAGCAAGGGTCTGCTTGTTTCATTTATATTAAAAATTTCATCAGCATATAGCACAGGACATTGAGGACTTTAATGCTACTTCATCAGGAAAATGTTGGGTTAATTTAAGAAGATAAAAAATTGAGGAGGACCTTCAATCAGTCACGGGTTATAATCACTGGTAAATCTGGCCTTGAAACTATGGAAAAAGACTTAAGGGAAGATGAAGTAGTAAAAGTGTGCACCTCTCCAATGTCATTTGCCTTCTGATTCATGGTGGGCCTCAAGTCAACAAAAATCCATAGAACATCAAACCGGTTTTAGGCAATGATATTTTCAATTGTCTATTTTACTCAGTTAATGAACTGGGCACAAGATTAGCCTGGTTTAGCTGCAAACCAGCAGAGTTTACCCTTTAATTTGCATTAGATCCAGGACTACCTTTTGGGGAGGAAAGACTTTAGGGCTATTGACAAGGACTTCTTGTATGCTGTTCTGTAGAGGAGTGTAATGTGAGGCAGTTTTCCCTGAAACCAAAGGGCAACAAGTCTCATTATCGCTTAATTTCCTCATTACCCCTGAGACCCACTCATAGTCTGTCAATGCTACATGCTTCTCCTTCAATAGGCACAGCATTGGGAAAGGGGAGTGAATTTCATAAAAGGAGTTAATATCATAGTTTTCAGAATGACAACTGATTTTGGGAAATTAAGCAATACATGGATAAAGCTGTGAAGTGTAGATATCTTTCCTGGAGACTGGGTAGCTGGGGTGGGGTGGGGGTGTCTTACTTTTTCAAGGTCTAAGTCACATCTTCCTTCACCCACTAGTGGGGCCTACTCTCAGAAAGGCACTGCTAGGCCAAGCTACTTCCTAAAGGCAGAGAGTGGGCCTTGATGCTCCTTCTAAGTGGCATCTACTCACAGCTGCTCTGAAAGTATTCAGGGGACTTTCCCACATCTGGGCAGGGGTTTGGTATGTGAGGACTCAGATTCACAATTTTTTCTCATTCAGAAAAAAACTTCTCTTTTAATAAACTAAGCTACTGAAATTTACAGAGGCTAGGCCAAAAAATAATGAAGACGATTGCTAAACCACTGTTATCTAAAGCCTGAGATATGCAGAGGTCATTGGAATTCAGAAGATAATTGCAAAAATGGTTGAGGAAGGGGTGTGACTTTAAGGATAGAAGAATGGCAAGCTAACAGTGCAATGTTAGACTGTAACTTTACAGGGAAATCTTCACAGAGTGATTAATGTGTGAGAGGAGAATCCTGGGATGGGATAACAAAAGTTTTTAAACATCAGGGGGTACATATGCCTCTCCACTGGACTGGAATTCCATAAAGCCAATGACTAGGTTTTATTTGCCATTGTGTCCCCAGTGCTTAAGGTGAGAAAGATGTCAATGAATTTATTTGCTTTCTGATTTTATTGGTAGGAAACAGGATGAGCAATGAGGTCAAAGATAAGTATTTATGTCGATATACTTTCATTTTGGGAAGTGTGCTTTTCTCTAAATAAATATAACACATCATGTTCCCATAAGAATCTCTTTCCCATGGCCTTGCAAATCATTCTAATGGGATATTTTAAAGGCAAACCTTATATAAGATATTTTGTGTTAGTATGCACCTGTGATTCAGAAAACTAGGACAAAGCAACAGCTTTGATGAACCTTGTCGAGTCCTGTAGTTTTTGTTTATCTGTGGTTTTTTTGTTTACTTTCTAACTTACAGAAGGCATGGGTTCCTGTTCAGAGGTCAGACTAGCAGAGAGTAGTGGCAACACCACATCTCTTAAGTCGAGGCTCACCCCAGTCCTAAAGCCCCCGCGGTGATCAGGTGCTCCGTAAGGGAGCCTGCAGGGCAGCTGTGCTAGCTGGTATGACGTAATAGCTATGAATTCTGCACCTTAAACCAAATGTCACTTCAGGTTCAGGAATGAAAAGCCCTACAGATAACGGGAAGGAGACTAAGAGGGGGCGGAAGAAAGGTCCCAGCAATAAAGGAAAGATGATTCATGTCTGTATGGTACTTTTCAGGCCATAAAGGCCTTTCACATCCATTGGCTTCTATTTTCCAGAGCCATTTACTTTGAGGAAGGTGCTCTGATGATCCCCATTTTACAGATGAAGAAGCTGATACTCAAGAGATGTTAACGGTAGCTGTTTGCTCAGCTAGTAAATAGTGGATTCAAGATTTAAGACTACATCTTTTTCAACTCCTGTTGAGTATATGACACTATCTCAGAAAGGCAAGAGATGCAGAGTTCTCTGTGGGTGCTGGGGTACAGGGGAAGAACTTAGAAACGGAGAAAGTATGGGTGGTAGAGGTAGGAGCTGGTCCTGGGTCAGAGTCACAGAGAGGCCATTAGGCACTCCAGCCGTAAACACCAACTCTTTAAAAACAATGCTGCTGTGTCATCACCGTAAAATAGTCATCCTTAGTAGTTATCCTATTTTCACTCAGGAGGTGTTGGTGCTTAGAAATAACAGCTGACAAAAAGGTACAAACTATTACTCGGTCTTGTTTGGCAACCGCCTGGCTGGAAGTGGGAGAACAGCAGAGTGTGTGTGTGGACGCCTGCAGCTGTCAGACACTTAGCAGAGGCTGTGTGAACAGTCTCCATGAAAAACTTTGTGTTTAAACTGGAAGCAATCATAGTAAGAGGTATTGGGAGGAAGACCCTAATACACCCTCATGCTGGAGAAAAGCAAATTGATGTTCTTTAGACATTTTTGGAAACTAGGAAAGAGAGAGGGACGTGAAGGTCAGTGGCAGTGAATTTAATGTTCAAAGTTTAGTGTACATTTGATGACTAGTAAGAATAAATGAGGTTGTTAGAGCCATGGTATGTTAGTGCCAGGAAAGGGCTTGGAGTTTATGGGGTTCATAGATGGCAAGTATGTAGCATGTGATATTACTCCCCCATTTCATGCCCTTGACAGACATCACAAATCGATCATTGCCTTCATCACTGCTGGGCCTCAACCTGGCCTCAGTACTTTCCAATACAACCCTTCAGGCAGCTATTACAATTGGTCAGTGTTAGAATCTTGATTAAAATCTACCTGCTTTCTCTGTTTTGACTCAAGCTACTCATTTTACATAGGGGAGAACTGACATTCAAAGACATTGAGGTTACATAGTGAATTGGTGGTTCAGTGCCTCCACAGGATGGTCAGAAGCTTAACTCACTTAATATACATAGAACGTTTAAAATCGGGTTTAGTTGCAGAGATGCTATATAAATGTTGCTGCTCATATTAATTTGATAGGTAGCATGGAATGGTTGGAATGCACTAGATAAAATGTGAAGAGGCTTGGATTACAAATTGTAAGGAAGAGTGGAAATGTATGGGATTCAGGATTAAAATGTTTTGGTTGCACCGGCAGTAAGATAGGTGGCCTCTTGTAGCATCAGCTTCCTCATCTGTAAAGTGGAGTAGTAATACAAAGTCTATCACATAATTTTGTTGCAGAAATCAAATGAAAAAATAGCTTTATAAAGTCTAAAGAACTATAGGAAATGTAAGGGTGATACTTGAGAGGAGTGGAGAAAGGAGAAGAATATGGGCATCATTTGACTGATTCCAGTGCAAAAGTCTTGGGTCCCCTCATATCAGCACCTCAGTTTCACTCAGATCATTTCTTCGAGATCCTTGTTTTGGGAATCCTACGTAACTGATGAACACTGATGGGTTAGAAAGATAATCATGAGCTCCCCCATGCCTATAAAGATATGAAGAGCTTTCCTGAGGTTTGAGGAAGGCAGGTATTCAGCTGTAGAGATTTGTGGTCTCCATTATATCTACCTGGTCTTTATGGCAGCCCAATGCAAGGGCAATGGAAAGCTAAATAATAACTACACCTGCAAGCCTGCACCATACTACTTTGTTGACAGACAAAAATCTGAATTGGCCCATAATCAGGACAGTTTTAAGATAGCATTTTGCATAATTAGACAGTGTACACTCTAACGGCATTGTAGCTAGTGTTCAGTATGGTTGGATTTTGAGACAAGTAATTATTCTATAATGTTTGAGATGATGCAGCAACGGTCTGGGCTATTTATTAGCAATTGAGGTCTAAATTTCTAAATCGAGGTGTAAATACATGTGTATCTCAGTTGAGGCTTTGAAGCAAGGTTGGTGCAATATGTTAAGTCCAGGATGCAGTGTGAATGGTGTGCCCTCTGGAGTTGTGAAACAGAATGGCCTAGGCCTTTGTTTCTAAGCACTGACAGATTTTATTTTTTAGCCATTTTGTCCCAGCCAGAATGGTTCTAAGAGTAAAAAACTAACACCTGGACATAAGTGAAAAAAGGATCTTTTTAGTATTTGTTTATACTGATAGTCCCAAAATCTAAGTTAGTCATAATTATAGCAAAAGCCAGGAATTTGATAGAAAAATGCAGCCTATTTTGACTTCAAAATGGCACTTCCTGGAAAGCAAGACTGTGTTTTTCATGCCACTGTGTTGCTTGGAAAGTTTCTTCCTCACCTTATCTAGCTGGTCTCATCTTTCCAAAGCTCAGCTTAAGGGCTACTTCCTCTTTAAGTCATCTCTGAAGCC